CATTTCGACATTGCGAATTCGTTGATCTCAGATGGAGTACGGCCGTTATCGCGGAGGGATTAATTTGGTGGAGGAGGGAAGAGGAGGGTTACTCTTTGGTTCCAAACGGTATTTGACAATCATGTTGTGTAGAATTATACATGTCATCATGATTGATCACATGTTGCCAGGGTACCAATTCATGGCCTGTTTGGTGATGATTTGAAATTGGCCTTGTAGGATTCCGAAGGTGCGTTTGATATCCTTTCGGAAAGCTTCCTGCCGCTTGACAAAATATTTGGTTGGTGGATTGTTGGATGCAGCAAGGCATTTGGATTGGATGAGAGTCAACCATGGATAGTAGATACTGTCGACAAGATAATATGGGTATTTGTACTGATGCCCTTCTAACTTGAACTCTACACCCCAGCCGGTGCCAGAGATGATAGGATAGAAGAGCGGTGATTGGTCCAAAACATTCTTGTCATTCAAACATCCCAACATTCCAAAGAACGTATGCCAAATCCATGTGTCTTTGGTCGCTGTTGCCTTGAGAACAAGAGTCAGAGTCTTCTCTTTGCCTTCAAACTGGCCAGCCAAGGCAGTCAGGCAATTTTTCCATGCCCAGTGCATGCAATCCAAGCTGCCAATGCAGCCTGGAAAGCCTTGAAAGACATTTTCTTCAAGAATTCGTTTCAAGTCGTCACGGTTGGGGAGTTGCAAATATGTCGGCCCATAAATCGCCTCAATTCCATTGCGAAAATTTTCCAGGTTTTGGTGTGCCGTCGTCTCTCCAAGACGGCAGTAATCATTGGTCGCGTCAAGGGGAACGACATAGGCTAGCTGTCGGATGGCCGCAGTGATCTTCTGGTGAGGACTCAAGCCTAATTTACCAGTACAGTCCTGTTGCAAAAAGTATGGATAAGTCAACGTATTCACATATTTCTTTTGATCTTGATGAAGGGCTTACTGGTTTTTGGAGAAAGTATGGGAAGTTTGCAGTGAGATCTTGGAGGATACGCAAGAAAAGCGGCTTTTCCATTTGGAATTGTTGAGTAAAATCTTGAGAATCGTATGTTGAGTCTTCATTAAAATAATCGTCCATGAGCCTCTGATGATTTTTGACATGGCTCCGTTCCTTGTTAGGCCGCCGCTTCTTTGATTGATGTGGCAGGTTTTCTGGCTCCGAATCGCTTGAATCAAGAAATGCAGCTGTTTTGAAGTTGTTGTCCATGAGGCTCTGGGTTAAAAGACAGCTTTTCTCAATGTTCTGTCTTGTGATGAATTTGGATTCTGGAAAGGGAACGTGTTCGTCCGCCATAGTCGTTTGTGGGCTGATTACCAATGAGGTTGACGGGATTAGTTGCAAGATTAGTATCAAAACTTTTGTCTAGGCCCAACCGATGTGTTTGAAGGCCTGGATTAGGGTCAATCCCGTTTTAACTTGATCCTTAATCCGTGCACCAATGCGGATGCTCTTAGGGCTTAGGTTTGGGGTTTAGGGTTAGGTTTTAGGGTTTAAGTTTAGGGTTAGGGTTTAGGGTTAGGTTTTAGGGTTTAGGTTTAGGGTTTAGGGTTTATAGTTAGATTTTAGATTTTGGGTTTAGGGTTAGGGTTTAGGTTTAGGGTTTAGGGTTTGGGGTTTAGGGTTTAGGGTTAGGTTTTAGGGTTTAGGTTGGTTAAGGCTGTTTTTTTTTTAAAAAACAATTGGCAAAACCGGGTTTTCCCCAGCTCACCCAGCTCTGCTTGTTTTTTGGCTTCAAACCAATGATAATGACACCATTTTCTTCCGTTTGGGACCAAAGAATCCAATTGCCAAAACTTGGAATGCACGTGGCAGATGAGGAAAGCATACGGAGATGACGCTACATGCACAGGCTGAGGGAAGCGGAAGCAAGCGGAAAGTCAAGCTTTCCAAGGCATGGGAAAGTGCGGTCAGAGCAGGGTAGAAATGCACAAGGTTCCAAAAGCTTACTGCATGGAATCTGAGCTTCAGGTTCACATCCAACTGCGGACCGGGGGTTGATGCGTGCTGCAGAGGGGCTCAGAGGGAGTGGGGGCACCAAGAGGCAGAAGCGGTGGTGGGATACCTGTCTGGCTAGCAGCCAGAGCAAGGCAGTAACTGGGCAATGTTGGAGGGGTGGCAAGCGGAGTGCAAGGGAGTGAAAGCGGAGGACAGCATGGGAAGTGAGGAAGAGATTGTGTGGGACAGCCGGAGGAGTAGGAATTCAGAGAGGAGGAGAGAGAAGAGGGGGGAGGACCTCTGACTTAGAACATATTAGAAAAAAAAAAAAAAAACAGAGAGACTCAGGAGTGAATTGTGTATTAGCCTAAAGAATTGATTAGAGATAGCAAAAGTTGGAGTATTAGAACTAACCAAAAGATGATTACTAATTATTTACCTACCAACAAGACCATCAAGCAAGTGACCCCGGACAACAAATTGGAGTAAGGAAGCATTGTGGAGTGGAGAAGTGCAAGAATCCCCAGGGGCATGTTGGAAGGAACAAGGGGACAAACACTGAAGTTCACAGACGTAATGTCATGTGACACTCAGGAGTGAGAAAAAGAATGGTTTGATTTCACTAAGGGAGAAAACGCCAGAAGCAATCTTGTATGAGTTATACACAAGATTGACTTGTGTTATGGTCAGAAGCATACTTGATAGTGAAAAGATGCATAATATTCCAACAGGGCACCCCTTACTTTCCACACTGTCCTAGGAAATGGGAAGAAACCAAAACCCACCTGCACCAAGCCTGGAGGGAATCCAAAATTAGGCCAAGACAAGTTACAATGAGGAAACCAAAAAACATGGTTTAAAAGACAACATAAATATGAAGTTGTGGAGAAGTACCAAAAGAGAAACAAACCAGGTCAGAAGGTGGCAATCAACAAGATTGAAAAGGATACATTTCACAGGCTATTCAGTCCTTTCATTAATTTAAAAGGTGTGCATGTAGCTCTCATGCCATAAAGTGGATATAGCTAATCTCAAATGTTCTAATTGTCACACTAGGCTTTGATGGGACTAAAGACACTCCTGTAGAAATATTCCATGTGTTCCAACTTGGGATCATCAGATACCTGCTATGTGACTTCATGTCCAGTCTCACTGATGGGAACAAAAGAACATTAGAGGCTCATTGGAAGGCATTCAATAAAAGATTTGCTGAACATCCCACCACTTGAAGCTTTTTTCATGGTAGAGCTTCATCAGCAAAAACAGGAAAATTGTCATTCAGGCCGCCCCGTTTGTCTTTTTCCCATTTATGACTCAAGAACAGAGAGAGTTATGGAGCACCCTGTGTCTATGGTGTACTTATGTGTACCAGACTAAAATAGACAACATTCTCAAGCATCACATTGATTTTTTCTTGTAACATGTGTTGCACAAGACAGCACAATGGGTGAATAATCCCAAATTCCATATGCTGACCCATCTTCCAGATGCAATCAGACAGTTTGGTCCTGCATGCTTATTTGACTCAGAAAATTTGAATCTTTCAATGGAATACTCCAGAACGCATCAAGCCACTCCAACCAACGAATCCCAGGCCAAGATATAGCCATCACCTTTGAAAATTACCAAGCCATGAGATTAATTTTATCTGGGGCATACCTCTATGATCAGAGGAACATGCACCATTTCCAACCATCATTCAATGTCACAGAGGTCTTCCAAACCAATAAGGGCATACCAAACCTTGTGGGTCTAGACATGTCATACAAACCAATTTATCCAATTGTTATCAAAGGAGCAGTACCTGAAAAACTGATGGATCAAACAACCATACCAACTCATCTGAAGAATGCGTACCCAACAACCAGGTGGAATTTAATCAGAACCATCAAAACAAGTAAATATGAATCAGTCCATTGGGGATTTTTTTATTGGTGAGTTATCATATCCAGAAGCCCAAGGCTCTCCACCTCACATAATCTGCCAATGTTTCAAATAGATTAAAAGAAAAGACAGATCCCCCTATTTTGTGGAAGTATCAAATGTATGCAAGCAAATCACAGTCCAGTACAATATTCCTTGAAGTACAAGAATACAATCCGGTTGAATTGAATGGCACTTAGCTAATGCAGGAGTATGTAGCTAAGAATACCTTAATGTATGCTACAGACCAAGTAAGTAAACCATTAATGTCCTTTGGGAAGTCCTTTGGGTAATCCACTCTGTCTCACACAATTCAAAATAATGGCTAAACCTGACTCTAAATCTGTATGCAGAATGTAATATGCTGCCTGAAAATGCAGCACAATTGCATTGAAGGGCTATGCAAGTTCATCACCCAAACACTTAAAAGAGAGGGCACAAAAAACAAAAAAACTATTGGCCACACACCAACAAACAGTTATGCATGCTATATTCTCAATGCATGCTCCCTATGATCAATCCAGGGACACCACAATCAATCAATGTTATCCCGGAGGCCTATTTCTCAGGCCATGGGGGATGAAGCCATCACCAAGGGATCATATGGCAGAAAGATGGCCCACTCATAACCACAGCGGACACCCCAAATACCATTCCCCTACAGCCCATTCCACCAATACCAATCACACAACCTTCATTAATACATGTTGATCCCAATAATATTCAAGAAGATCAAGGTTATGTATTGAAAAACAATCCATATATACCACAAGCACCAATCCCACTAATAGCACTATCTGTACTCCCTAAAACCCACCAGTAGCTCAGCCCCCCATCAACTGGCCCAATTACAAACCCCAAAATCATATACCACACTCAGTACATCCCTGCAGACAGCAGGATATCCTGTGCAGGCCCCCACCCAAAACTGGTACCAAGAAACCTGGAGTACAAATTTGCATTATCCATATCCCCCACATTCAACCCAAAATTTTTCCACCACCACAGGCCCCACATAAAACCCTACATACACCAGGCATACCCTACAAAACCCCACATGATGGTGGATATCCAACCCAAGCTCACCCCAGCCACTGGTACCAAGCCCCACCCACACAGATTAGCCCCACAATGACTCAAGCCCATCAGGGCCAAATATTGCAAGGCCCAGTGTTCACACCAGGCACAATGAGAATGAGCATTTCAGAGTCCATGAAAGTGATGGCATCTGGCAGTGCATCCAAAAAAATAACATCAGACCAAAATTACACAGAGGGACCCAGAAAGATGAGCACATCATCCTTGTGCAACAGTTTCACAAGGCTGAACAATCCGCAGGAAAGGCCAAGCAGCCATCCAAGTAGTCACATCTCATGACCCCACCTACATACCTGGGTTCCCAAACCTCAAGAGCCAATCCATCACATCCAAGCAGGCCAGATGCCAGAAAAAAGGCCTGACCAACCAACCAAGACCCAACAAAAAGCCTCCAATCTGCTGTTGGAGGGATTGAAAACCCTTTATGGACCAAAAGGTACCCAATGAAAACCCCCTAGCCGCCCAAAAAATTACCAAATCACTGAATGGCCAAACAATCACCACCAGCCAATCAATAAATACCTTGGCCAACCACCTTATCCACCAGTTCAACCTCATTACATCAATGAATTGCCGAAAAATATTCAACCATATGTGGACCATATCATTGATGTCCAGGGAGATGGACACTGGATTCAGGGCAGTAGAATACTTCCTAGGACAAGGTGAGGGTAATTAATTATATGCATATCTGACAAAACGTCGTGGAACAACTGTGTCACAATCATAATTACTACATGCGGCAAGATCTTAACATGAATGTAGAAGAAACCTTAAATATTTCTAATGTGACAGACCCACGGCTGTGTGGAGTGGCACATTGGATGAGCATGCCTTCATTTTGGAGACCCATGGCCAATGCATTGAAGACTGCAGTATTTTTTATTTCAAAACGTGGACTGAATCATTCTTCCCTGACTTTAGTCAGCCTGATGACAGCCCCACAATAATATTTGCATTAATTCCTAGTGCCAGGCAATTTGTAGTCATCACTTTCAAGGATCTCTCTTCCCTGTGTGAGGAAGCAAACCGTGACACTCTATGGTGATCAACAGCACGGCAGTTAGCCCTTAGTGTCCGGTTCCGGTCCCTCAACTCAATGATTCATTGCACGAACCTATGGTGATCAACAGCACAGCAATCAGCTACCTTAGTGTCCGGTTCTGGTCCCTCAACTCAATAAGGAAGAAGAGGGCCTTTGCCTTGCGCTAGGTAGGTAAGACTAAGTACAATGTCTGTGCCGCAGCAAACTATGATGATAGAGAAACAACTAGGTTAAGATTGCGGGAAACAACAAGATCACTCCAACTGTCACAAATGTGTCACATCCCTGTTCTCAACACCCTTCTCCAAGAGTTGTAGGCACATTTGGGAGACCATCATCTGGTGCCCATGGGGCATGGCAAGGGAAGTATTCTAGCTGCATTGCTTTTTATAACTCATTGACCACGTAGCTATTTGTACAGTGAGTGGACCGTTATTTTTGGCTGCTTGTTTTGGATTCTACAGCTTCAAAGCACAAACTATAAGTCACAAAAATTGGTGAATTGGTGAAGAATAGGTCTCAGAAAATGAATATGAAGAAATAAGAACAAAATTTGTGAAAAATAAAAAATAAAAATGGGTTTTTCCAAAAACTTTGTTATTGATTTTGGGGGAGTGGGAGTGCTGGGAGAAAGAAAGAGTGGAACATGGCCAGAATGATTATGCATGAAAAAACTTTGAACCTAAAACGTTGAGCCAGGTTGGTTGTTCAGATTGAATCCAAACAGTAAATTCTAGTGCTTTCCACAACATTGCTGTGAATGTGCTCTCAACAGTTGTTTGAAAGCCACCTGGTGACCATTTTTACAAAATTTCATTTATAATCATTCTTCCCCTGTGCCATTCTTTCCTTCTTGCCAGCGCTCCCACTCCCCCAAAGTGAATATCAGAACTTTTGGAAAAAAATAATTTTATTTTTTATTTTTCACAGATTTTGAAATTTTAATTTTTGGTTTTATTTTTTCATATTCATTCTTTGGGACCTATTCTTTGAAGCTCTGGAACCCAAACAAGCAGCCAAAAATAACGGTCCACCCACTGTACATACAAAGAATCCATTCAAATCCCAAGCACAATGTAACCATAATTCTGCACATTTGAGCATACAACAAAAACAAAATCATGAGGCAAACCAAATCATTGACACATGCAATAATGAATCAAAAAAATACAAGGAAATGCTAAGTGGTTATTCAATTATCTCAAAGCTTAATTGCACTAATGCATCAGAAAATCCAATAGATTCACTGATAAGTCAGCCATTGGTGGAAACTATTATTATCAAATCATGATCACAGCTGGATCAATTCTGGTGCCAAGATAAAATGGTTCACATTTCACCATAACTCAGATGTAGAGAACCATATTTTATTGCTCAGTCACATAGTTTATGTGAGGAAGACAGGGATAAATAGGAAAAAAAAGAATAAATAGGGAAATTCCCCCGTACAGACAGAGAGAGAAAAAGTCTAATATTGGGGTTGACAGTATTTAACTGCTTTCTTGACCCCATATAAGTTTGATTGTACAGGGCCCCACTTCAAACCAAGATTCAACAAGTCTTATTTGGTGGCACCTTCAAAAGCAGTCCAGTGAAAGATGTCATGCTTTGCAGTGACATCTCTGATTGGCTGGTAGTCTAAAGGGATCTCACAGAGGGTGAGAAAACCATTGATATTCAACAAAGGGGCATCTTGACGTGGGATGCCAATTTGTGCAATATCAATTGTTTTCTCACCCTCTGTGGAGAAGGCAGGTGATCAGGCTCCAAGCAATGTTTCATCCTGACGGAGACTGTGTCCTTGTATGGACCAAGTTCAGCCTGATTGCCCACAACAACAACGCAGCCACCCCTAGTTTGCCCGGGCTCAGGAGCCAAGCCAATGGAGTTAGATGAGGCAGGAGTAGACAAGCAAACATCACATACATGCACAACCAATGTAACTACCCCATGGATTGGTTTTGTCAGTGGCCTCTGGCATTTCAAGGTAAATAGCAACCTTGGCCACATGATACAAGTTCTCCCCCGCTTGAACAAACTCTTGGAAATCCAACATGGGAACAGGGTGCGCCGTCAACGGATTGGAGCCATTTGGTTCTTCTACCATGTAGGCCCAGTGTAGCACTGCAGCCTGCTTGGCTTGAGTTGCTATCAAATTGATTGGATATTTGGATTGGCTCTCATTACGCAGGTGTTTGAATACAAAGTTCTTGAGCAAGGATAGAGTCATGTCCTTGAAATTTAGGTTGATTGGGGGCATAGGGCCCCTGTTAATGATGCGCTTGTACACCGGTTCCTTTTACCCAGACATCTGGATGTTGTAGTACAGCCAGTATTGGATCCAAACGGCAATGGATGGGTTGGGGCCTTGGGATCTATCCTCCAGGCTGGGTGTGCAATGATTTGCATGGGGAGGCGGAGTGATTGGGGCCGGTTCCTGAAGGCCAACAGATTCTGTTATGAAGATCAAGTCAGGCTTGTCTTCTTGCGGTGCCATATCAAGATCATTGGAAGACATTCAGGAAGAACTGCAGTTAGAAATCCAGGAAGGAGTCAGGAGTCTGGAGTTGAAGTTGACAATGACAGAAATGCACCAAAATACTGACCTGAATGTGGTTGACTGAAAGAATCCTTTTAATTCTGTCTGAGCCAAGATTTGACGTGGGTGCCACCTTGTGTTGGCCCCATGATAATCCCTTGCTTTCTCACCACGGTGACAACAGGGATTCCCAGTGGAGAATTCATCACTGGAAATCCACATCAACTTTTGACAAGGATTCCCAGCGATGAGGTCTCTACCAGGAATCCCGTCATGCATGACCGCCTCATGCATACAAGGAGGTGAAATTAACAGCAGGTTGGGTGAATTCCATGTCAATTTCACAGAGTTGGTGTCACCTGTGGGATCCACATCCTGCTTGGCAAGAGGTGCCCCTGGGGTGTATGAGCATACCCCGTTTCTTGCATAATTTGTACCATATACAAATTTTATTTGCATGCAAAATGGATACAGCCATCAACTTTAAAACCGTTCAAAATGTAGGAAATGAACTTAAAATTCCATAAAATAAGGATAATTAAGCGTGTAAGAATTAATAAAAAAAACCCTCAAATGCAATATTCAAGAAATAGTTTTCATTTTAGTGCAAATTTATTGTTACCATAATTTTGTACATTTCTTAAAGTGTAGGAAAAGAATTTGAAATGTCAAAAAATAATGAAAATTAAGCTGTTAAAAATTAATTGAAAAATATGACTAAATATGATATTCAGAATGAACCGCTGATTCAAATGAAAATTTAATGTTGCCATTAAATTCTTCACATTTTCAAATGTAGGAAATAAATTTAAAATTTCAAAAAAACATAAAAAAAACCTCTTATTTCCTACTTTTGTCCCACTTTTTATTTTAAAATCCACACTATACTTGTTTATTACCACACTCTTTTGTAAATTCAAATTTTGGCTTGTTAAAACATTATAAACCGTGCCAAAACGTGGAAAAACCATGTTTTTTTTATTATGGCCCTGAAAGACAATTAAAGAGTACTGTAGAGACTGGTTTTAGAAAATTAAGCCGTATACTAGTTAGTCTTAGAATACCAATTACACAGTAATTAATCTAAGATTAGGCATCTTGTAGAAGAATTACAATCTCTAGTATCAGCAAAGGACACTTGAAGATTCATCAATATCAGATTAGAACATCTCAGAGTAGTAGAATCCACTCTAGAAGTACCCATCTCAGATGTACTTTTTTCAGACCAAAATCTCATATGCTTTAGAACAAATTGTGTATAAATAGAAGCTCTTCTGGCCCATGTTTTCCTCTTCCCTCCTCATGTTTTCACCAGAGAATCAATTAGACATTAATTAGCCCTCATCACCCCTTGAACTTGATTAAATCAGATAATTTATCATGAGAGTCCCAATTAAACATCCCTTATCTCTTGTTTTTGGCCTTAGAAAAGTAATACAGAAACATCATTACTTAGCCATCCTCAACTTTTTTGAGCAAGATATTAGAGAAATAAGTGTACCCTTATCAGAGCCCAGAGTTACCAGAGTCTTACTAGACAAGAGAACCAGAGAGAAATTATAACATATTTAACAGAGATATCACCTCAGAGATATCACCTCAGAAACCTCTTGTCACCCAGATACCTTAATTATCTCAACAAATCTTAACATGTGTTCTTTGACAACAATAACAGTAGTATCAACACTAAGATGAATTTAGAAATAAGCCACATTCTTATTTTTCTCTTAGTGTAGCTTTCCCGCAAGTTAGACAGCAGAGCATTCTCACCCACACACGGATACTAATTCTACTATTTCATAGTCTTATGAGCTATTTTATACACTCAAGCTCTTGACTCACTTACTTGGCAGCTCCAAACCAACAACCCCTTGACCAAAATGGAAGTTGTTGGCAAATATTAAATAGTTGTTTTTCCAACTCCCTAATTTTTTGATCTATACTAATAATTTTTTAATGAGGGTCTGGTCAAAATATTTGGTTTTTTCAATTTCAGAATGTTTGCTTCTAGTTACAACTGATGGAGTAGCGGTGTGATCAGGAAATCTTAATGTACTAGCTATGGGGTGAATGTAACTCATGGGTTGTCTGCTTCCTTGAGGTCTAGCATAGGTTGTGCTAGGTCAATGGCTTTCCTCCAGCTTCTTTTTGCTTCTAGAATTGTCATAACCAGCTTCTTTCTCCATGTTGTTCCCTTCAAGTTCTCTTTTGAAGGAGGGGCTTTGAGCCTTTGAAGCTTCATCATTGCCTTTGCTTCTTGATATATGACTTAGGTTGCCCAAAATTACCACTTAGGGGAGGACTTTCTTGCCCCTGAACAGTAGGTGGAAGTGATATGAGTTGGAATTCTGATAAATGAGGTTGTGAAGAGGCTAGCCTTATGCAGCCTCTATTTCTAGCGCATCCTCTTCCTCTTTTTCCCTTGCTTTTGATTGGGAGAGAGTTTGCTAAGTGAATGTTTCCTGATCTGTTAGTAAATACCATAGTTGGTGGTTTTTGTTCACAACCACAAATGATGCAGTGGTTGAGTCACAATATTTAATCTCACTGATACACAATGGTAGACAATCTGCAGGCTCAATCTGTGAACCTGGGTCTCTAAATTGACAGCAGGACAAAATTCTAGATTTATTTGAGAGGGATAAAGAAATACAACTAGAACAAGAGAAATGGAGAGAGAAAGAAGGAGAAAGAGATGAATAGTATTTTTTGTTTTTTATTTGTTTTATAATCAAGTTTTGATGCAGTCTTACTTTCCTGTAAGAATGGCTGTTTGTTAGCAGAATAAATATACGCCTCCTTACTCAAATGAAACTGAGAAGGGTACTTGGTATTGATATGTAAATCCAACCACTATTTTTTATTTCAATGATCAAGGTTCTTCAAAGGGAAATCTATGTGGTTTTTAGTTATACCAACAAACAGAGAATAAAGATTACTTGATTGGATGTGATGATGATTGAGGCAGAGGTGTAGTAGAAACAGAATGAAGTGATCATTCAGAGAGACAGAGAAGAAACTTAGCAGAAAAATGCAAGCTGAACTTGAAGGAATGGTTTACTAATTGGTGATCATGACACAAAGAGTGGGAAGATTCCAATAGGTAAAGGACTCCTAACACTAACATGGCAATGATACGGTGTTGAATCCAAGTTGAGGTGGAGTTGGTTCTGGGAGGCATTAATTACAGAAGCAGATGGCTTAAGCTATTTTGATGGTAGAAAGTAAGTGAAAGAACTACACATTTTGTTCCACCAATGAATTACTTACTGTTCCCTCTAATTTTTGGATTTGACAAGCTTCAGAATGTTTTCTTCAATCATGCCTCCCTGCCTTTGAAAAGTGTTCCCCTATGTGCAGTTTTTGGTTTCCTTTTTGAATACATTCAAAAGCTATTTGCATCTCCATGCTCTTGCATCCATTCATAGTTTTGCTAGTTACTCCTGTACACATCCTACTTTCTCCCAAGGGATATCAGATAGCGCTCACACCAAATTCTGCCTCTATCACTCCTCAGTTGTCATGATTCTCAATTACCATGTAGCTACATACATACCCCTCATTAGAGATGGGCACTTTGCATCCGGATATCCGGTTGCTTTTTCCGGGGAAAGCGGCATCCGCATCCCCTGGCGGATATCCCCCCACCCTAGCGGGTATCCAAGTGGATATCCTTGGATACCCGCCCTTTAAATGGCCGGCGATTCAAATCCTCGCCGGCTGGAAAGGTTGCCTTCCAGCCGGCGAGGCATGTACCTTGCCGGCTAAAAGGTTTCCCTTCCAGCTGGCAAGGTACATATGTACCTCGCCGGCTGGAAGGAAACCCTTCCAGTCGACGAGGTACATGTACCTCGCCAGCTGGAAGGGAAACCTTCCAGCCGGCGAGGTACATGACCCTCGTTGACTGGAAGGGTTTCCTTCCAGTCAACAAGGTACACAACTGATACCCCAAATCAACAAAGGATTATTGAAATTCAATAAAACTGACTAGCAAGAAGTGCCCACTCACTTCAGGATGGATTTTCTCAAGTAACAAAACTAGCGGAGGAAAGAGGTCAGAGGCAAATGAGAGTAGGCAAGTTGGTGGTCAAACCATTGGCAATACAATAAATGTCAACAGGGAATCTCCTAGAGTCTCATCAGGAGATCAAAGGCCGCTATTTTCTCTTGCCTCCTCAACCCCAATACTCATCTACTTCTTCTTCTTCACCTTCTGCTCCTACTTTGTTGGCTTCTTTGGCCTTGGTTGGTGCAGAAGTTCCCATTGGGAATACCTCCGGCTACACCCGCTCAGACGTCTGCAAAACTCTGGCACCAATTTTTCCGCTTCCCACAATCACTTCCTTTTCACCTAATCCTAAATCTAGAGGCACAGGCACCTTTGCTCATCTCACCACTCAACCCTGGCCCTGATTACCAAAGCCTCTACATGGCTGTGAAAGGTGGTCGGGTTTGGGCAGGTTGTTTGCCACTCAACAATTTCATCAGATTTTTTTTTCTTGTACTCCAACTGAGAAAATTGAAATATGATGTTGTGCCTCCACCCAGCCAGTGAAAGATTGCGGGTTGACCGGAACCCGACCCAAACCCGTCTTCATTCAATGGAGTTTGGGTTTGGTCAGGTTATTTTAGAAATTGACCCGACCCGACCCAACCCGCTTCTGAGCCAGGTTCGGGTTTGGTCCCTGTTTTTCAACCCAAACCCAATCCGTTGACATGCTGACTTCCAACTAACCTTGTTTCCCTCTCACCTCATACTCACCTTCCACTCACCCTGCTTCCAGCTCATCTCACTTGCTACCCACCTCACACTTACCTTCCACTCACCTTGCTTCCCACTGACATCACTTCCAACTCATCTCACTTTGCTACTCACCTCACACTCACCTTGCTTCCCATACTCACCTTGCACTCACCTCCCTTCCCACTCAGCTTGCTTCAACTCACCTCACACTAAC